AGTGAGAGGGATAAAGGGAGACGAAACATAGGGTAACAAACTTGTGACTAGGGTTGAAGGGAACAAAGGAAGTTTGTCTACTGGGAGCATTAAAGCCTAACCTTGTAATCTATCAAAACAGGCTGGCTTTTGGAGAATAATCTACATGAGTTCTCTTGACAGGGGAGTCTCACTCCCTATCACAAGTTATAACTCCCTACACGATTGTGAGCCTTTGTTTCCTTCAAGCTGACATTTTCTTACCCTCAGCTGGTAAAACAGTGGGTATGCTTTGAATCTGGCGTAAATACTGTGCTCACGGGTTTGTGGGCCGTAAGAACAAGGTACAAGTGATAAGATTCACTTGATCCACGGTAATGGAAAGGGTGTAAGTGCCCTCTTTCCATACGCTAGCTTAACTAATCTTCGTGAATTCACATGGCAGCAAGGACCCATAGTTGTCAGTGGATGTGCGCATACCTATCTATCGCTTGTATATGTTCTGTAGGCTGTGCATGTGTGTGTATGGACTGAAATCACCCTTCACTTTTGGAGTCTCAAATTAGTTACACAACATTTGAAGCTCAAAATTTGCTGTGCTAATCAGGTCACGTTTGTTGCTGCTGCTAATTAGGTTTGAAGAGCACACCTAATGAGGATTCTTGTTCACGGTACATTCACGTATAACGCGTCTAAAACACTCGGGAGCAACAACGAGTGTTCTTGTAAATCTATTGCAGAACTTCAAAACCAGCCGACTGAAGCAAGTTGCTGCTTTGAACTATCCTAGTCACCCTTTTCTTGCATAACTCTCAAATGAATGGGGGCATAGGAAGGCCGGAATTTTGCCAGATACAGTTAAACGGTGCGTTAATCGACCACAAGCTTACAACGTGAATAATGGTGTAAGAATAAAAATCTGCGAACAGTACATTCAAGGACATTTATGCTGTCAGCCATCTTGTTGACCTCTCTTTCTCGCCATCTTATAGTCCTTTATTTGTTCTCGGGAGAATTCGAAAATAATGATTGAAGTGCGCTGAGAATGGAATGATCAGAGAGATTCAGCATGAATTCAGCTGAGTCAGCCGTTGACAGCAATTTAACTTGCAGACGAGTGCATTTCGCCAAGGTGGCAGGTGTTTGAGTTACCAAATTAATAATGAACTGTCAGACGGTAATCTGTCAAACTGGATATGCACAGTTCTGGCGCTGTCTGGTTAGGTCAAATACGGCTACATCATACCTTCACATCAATGAGGAAACGAAGCTTATTGCTAGTTATTTCGAGGCTTTTTACCGCGTTTGGATCTGCATACGTGGATGTCTTGTGTGCGTGAAATAAGGGCACACAAGATATTAGCTAAGCTACAGATTAAAGTGGTTAGCGATTTAGCACTAACCGACTAAACTTGTGTCTAGGTCGTCAAGTGCAGAGTGACAGGGACAACCGCAGAATGTCATGTTCAAGAGATGGTCTCTATCAATCCTCAAGGTATGAAGACCCTTTGCTTTAAATACCCTACTGGGATCATTTTTCCTGAATAGTTGTAAAGCCTAATATCGTGTACTGAATCAAACCCTGCCTGGTTTGTTTAATGGTGGCCATGGATTGTGCTGACAACTCTCAGATGAACTCTTGTCCTTACTCAGATTTGCTGCTGATGTTGAAGATAAGCGCGGTATCGAGTAGAGTGATGGCGTTTACATGGTCCTCGTACAATGAAGTAAAGTGGATTGAAGCAGAGCCGTGTGACACAGATTTGAAAGGGAAGGCGTTCTGCTCCGACGGAAACCCATGGAGTACTTCAGTGCTTGCATTCGACCTGCATTCTGCATTGTCTTCTTGGCTGATTATTGATATTAGAGTGGTTGGCTAAGGCACTCGTTCGGTTCAACTACTAACTTAACACATCTCAGCAATAACACAAGTAGCAGCAAGTGTACTTCTCAGAAAAATTACACTGTATCATACTTAAACAGTGCATCCTATGGGTCTTTTGTTTCAGGTCAGTTTTTATACTAACTGCGTTCAACCAAGACCATACTGCCGTTTTTTAGTCCTTAGAACAAACGCTTGAGTGGAACGGTAACATCAGTGAACAGTTTTGAGGTTATTAAGCATGGTGACCTATTATTGAAACTCATGTGCTTCTACTCACTGGACTATGATCAAATCTATCCTGTTCTGTTTCATCCATTGTGTTTGTGTGAAGTTCATACAAGGACACGTCGAATGCTGCTCTGTACAGGGCACCCGTCTTCCATTCAATGTGCAAACTATGCGCAGTCCTGTAGAGGTAGAAGCGCACACATGTATGTTTACTGAGTTAGTATGCATAGAATTATACTGGTTTCCAATCGAATCTATCACCAGATCAGAAGTTTTGATTTTGACTCCACAGAGCACACTTCAGCAATTCGAGGTTTCGTTGAATCAGCTTATCATCCATTCTGGAATCGATTACGTATAAATGCACCGTATCGGCACCGCCGCAAGTGGGCACGTTAAAAGACAAAAATAGCTGCCACCAACCAACCTCACGGTATTACAGAGAAGGTCATGAATGGTGAAGGACGGCTACTATGAGCTTTTGGAAAAGTGGCCTTACTTCAGGAAGGATGAAAATATCAAGGCCTCACTTATTACTTCAGCTGGGCAAAGGCATTTCAGTGCCTTTATGCCTGAAAATGCGCCTGAGACTGTGTTGCCAACTATAGGGAGATATAGAAACCAAAACTGGTCATTCAGTAGTTGATGAGAGATTCTGAAGATTTCCTTGTGAATGAACGTGCAAAAGAAATGCTGATTACCCCACTTAGAATGCAATGACAAGTTTAGAGCTCTAGAACTGGAGACGTTGAAAAGTTCCCTTTGTTAGAGATAATAAGGCCCACTGAATCAACAGAACTTCTCAATAATATTGGAGGGTACATTCTGCTTCAGAGTCATCTGGTCTCCCTTTTCGTCGAGTAACTTCACAAGTTCATGCACCATAATATTATAAGATCGGGCGAAGAGAATTTTTCAGTACAAAAATTTGGTTCTAAGGACAAAATAGACCATTAAACTGATTCATTTTCCATGAGGTTTAGATATGCCAGTCAACAGAACTGCCAATATAGAGGAGGCATATCAGGTTGGATAACCGAGGTCCGCGTAACGCTAACTTTGACCTGTCATTAGCGATCGAGCACTGTAGAGAGTGGACCAGTTTAACTGTATTCCTCACAGACACGTTTCACATACGGCAGACCAGAAGAGGGAAATGTTGTGCATTTATGAAGTCGCATTAAGACTGTATCTGATGGTGTACGAACAAAGGTAAACGCAATATACTCATGCGGATGAAGAAGAGTTATTTGATGTGGAAAACACTGACAAAATGGACGTGGTTTAAACATAACATTAGTGCTTGGAACGTGTTTTGTGTACATGCCCATCGAACGATAAGAAAATGAAAATACGACGGATAAAGACGTCAAAAGATGCAGGTTTGCCAGTTTCTGTCACAAGACTTGAATGCAAGTTGCTAGTGAAGGTAGTCAAGTTCACTGCAGACAGTGAAAGCGAGAAAGAAGTCATTCCCGCACTGTTTGTAAAGTACCGTTTTAGGGACATGATTGAAAACATGCTGTGCAGCCACATCTGGACCTTTACTGGGAAGCGTTACCTCAGATGTGGTCTTAGGACAGCTTCCTAATGCGGTTCCGAATTCAATGCTTATCAAACGTTGGTTCCGGTTTATGCTTATTCAAAGTGCGGATAACTGCCACCCATACTTATTGGTATCCTTTGAGACAGAAACTAGCAACTGCTATGAATTTTCAGGGTACTTTGAGCATTCGATACCCATGTTGTGCTCCCAGGCTTTCTGTGCGAAAAACCCACATTTGATTGGTATTGTTTATTTTTTTTAGAGCCATTTCTATGGTTTAGGAAAGCTTGGGTACCATAGCTCTCAGCGTGGGACTTATCCATATACCTCATTTTCAAGGAAAGAAGTTTTCAAAAAGGAGCGAAGCTCTAACGATCATCCAAAGAAATTCACCAGTTTTAAGCACACTCCAAGGCCTTTTCATTGTGAGAGGACCTACTATCGGGCTGCAGTTTAAAGTTGGTCGCTTAAATAAAGGTATGTGTAAGAAGTGCAGGTTTGAATTTCTCAAACTGCATGGTCACGCTACTAACCTTGCTTTCACCAGCGGCGCAAGTAGAAATTTGGAGAGCAAAGTTTAGTATATGCACGTTTTCTGTATTGAGTGATGTAAAATAATTCAAAAGCAGTTTGCGCGAAGTAAACTTTGACATGAATACGTCGCAGGTGAGTTTTGCTCCGCTATTTCGATTTGTTCGAATTAACAGTACGTCAGCGGGAAACTTTATATACTACGGAGCATATTCTCATCACGAAAATCGCCTGAAGTTCACCTTTTTAGTTTAAACCCAAAGTTGTTAGCATTCCGTTAAACTATGTTCATCACTTGATACTGATCCGGAATATGTACAGGAAAAACCTTGTTAGAGGCTATCGACTCGCTTTGGAGATAGGATGGAGGCTCAGTTGTTCATCTGCATACTTTGCACAACTTCGCTTCTTGGTTCCTGTTTATGACTTGAACTGACTGGTTTTACCATTGTGCTTGAATGAATTTAGACAAAATATAGACATTTCACAAACGCGACCATCTTCTTGCCTCATTCGAAATAGATCAAACGAATACACATTGATTTGACAGCTACACTGTTTAACTTACAGCCAGGTGTGCGGAGGTCAAACCTCGGCACAACCAAGGATATGCACTGCTGATAAGCTCTGAAAAGAGCAAAACTCGAATCCACTGTTTCCCTCCTTTGTGTGAACGCACCATATTGATTGCTTCAGGAGAGGAAGATGACTATGAGCGTGAATTTTTTATTGAAAGTCCACTGCTTCCCTCCTTTGCTTGGACGCACCATATTGATTGCTTCAGGAAAGGAAGATGACTATGAGCATGAATTTTTATTGAACCGTGCGAATAAGTTAAAAAGACCTTTTGCTACTGATTTACTGTTCGCGTGGGTCAAAAAAGGAACTCATATCTCGGTTGCGAGTAATGTTTGATTTTATACTTAGTGATTTTGTAAAACAAACGATCAAGAATTAATGTCCACGGCGTTAAGCGAGCTGCACAGTACTACTGAATTCACCCTTGGGTAAATTTGAAACTCATGGGCTTGGTCAATAAATTCGAAGGCACTCATGACTATAACCGGATGTATAGCCATCTTGCATGTTTTGGTAAGTGTTTGCATGATATTCACAACTACCTTGAGTTTGTCAGCCACTTGAAATAAGCAGACTTCTGAATAAAGCTTCACCCAACCGCTACTTTTAAAACTTCTCAAAAGTGGTTAACCTAGGATCTCTGAGGTTGCCCGGTTGCAGTTTCGTATATTTCGCAAACCGCCTCGATTTAAATGAAGAATCACACAGTTATCACGTTGAAACGTAAATACCTTAGCGGTAACTTCTGATATGGAGGCAAACAAGAGGCTTCGTTTCAGAAGGGTTTGGTAAACAACCAAGCCTTTTTGAAGCGATAACTTCTCAGTCGGTTCCAAACTTTCTACAAGTGATTGCAAAAAGAGGCTCTTCAGCGTATGGACCTACCACCGTTTGCTCCTAATTTCTTGCAGTTTTATGACGCTTTTCGCCTACAAGTGTTCCCCCCAAGCAGTCACACCAGCAGCTAACTAAAGGCCGAACCAAAACCTCATCCAACCCATCCAGGTTGAAGTTGTTCCCACCGATATATACATACATATATATGTATATATCATATTTTTCTATACCTGGTGCTCGTTTCATTAACCAGTCCTGTTGTGTATGTGACTGGTTTCTGGATGGGTTGATTTTTCAGTCATTATGTATCTCCAGAGTAAACAGTTCAGAAAAGTTGTACTTTCCTTACAAAGACTTGAGAGTATACTGGCTGCTTCCGCTTAGAAGCACTTGTCCTTAAGCAACCTTCCTTTGTTGCTTTAGGTGCTATCGAGATTGCTGCTTGAGATATACACAGAAGTTGAGACCAAATTAATTAAACACATTGCTGAATAATCAGTCATGCAATCATCCGCATGCTCAGTTGTATCCGGTTTTTTGTTAATTTTGGTCCTTTTTCAAATTTCATTGATATCCTCATCGTGATTCAAATGAATCCTTCTCATTAAGCATTAGTAATGACGCAGAATTCACTCAGAGGCTCGTTACTGGGCCGAGGGTTTTGATGTCCATCTTAAACTCTCTGTGACCCTGATACCTTTCCAAGGCAATTTCGCTATTCTAAATTTAAATCAAGTCAGGTAAAGTCATAAACAACTTTTGTGTGTTTGGAGGGGAGAGTTTAGTGCATAAATATCAGGGTCGGGAAGAGAAAGCAGAGATCTAACATGACCTCTTCAATAAAAACAAATCGATAACTAGGTATCGGGTTACCTGGGGGGTGGTATTGTGGAAGGTTGCAGTGTGAACAAAGATGAGCATGAATTTTACTCGGATGTTATATTGGAATACTCTAAATCAGGAAATTGGAAATGAAGCTAAGCATTTGGCAAGGTCCACTGGATCAAGTTACAACAAGCGTTACTATCCTCACTGTCAGGTACGTCCCTATTTATTTCGTTGCATCTGGGAACATACTTCATGGTTCGTACGACGAGGAGGTAGAGTTTCTCAAGTAGTCCATGGAATACAAGGGAAGAACAGTAAATACAGTATGGAAGGAAGGAAGTAAAAAATCCTTATGATGCAGTTGAGTTACATATACTAGTTCGAGTGGTTGAGAGTAAGGAGTAACAATCTTCGGACTGTTGTGGAAATGGACTGAACTTGTTAAGACATCTAGGGCAATCTGAAATGCTGAGTCCCAAACTCTTCATCCTAAGGTATGTTGGAACACAAACCTTATTGATGTCATGGGTGGACGTGTTTTTACGCATGACGTTGAATGAGGGAGAAGGAAGGAGCATTTTATTTCTTGAAGCTTCGGAAGACTGAGCAACAATGAACGTTTCTGGGGTCACTGCGTAGATGCATGAAGCCAGCCCTGCAGAGTAACTTTACCTACCGGTGTGCACAGCCATGCACCACATTTATAGCACACTGAAATTGCATAAAAACCTGAAATAGACATGCTATCAACACAGATAAAAGGATAGGGTAGAAAAGACAGCCCCTAGAAGACGCTCGTTTTAGTCAAATTATTGGGAACCGTCAGGCAACAAGGTGAACTTTCTCGCCAACAACTGTGAAAGTACACTACTTCGAGTAAACCTTCCTGTATGCTGGGTAAACCTTTATCAGTCTCCAACTTTTTCCTCTCCCCTTCTTCCACAGAGATACACGGGTTGCTTGAAACGGTCACCGGTAAGATAAGAATGTGAGCGCCGATTCGGAGCTATATGCATATCAGATATAAACCCTGTGCCATAGGCACAATCGATTTTAACTCTTACAGTTTCGATCACTGGAGATCGATAATTTGCTCATTCAAGACTTGACCTTGATCATTGACCATTTAACAATCAGCAGTTTCACTGCCATATAACCAAGTATGTCTTTGTGGAACATGGATAACCCGTTTGCCAATTTCAGAGGGCAGTCAAAGCCGGACTTGATACCTTTCATTAGGATGTTTAGACCCAGTACAATAAATCACTGTAAAAGCTAGCAGTAACGCTAAGTAGTCGTGGTATCACCTCCGGTTTTAGATCAAGTCAGAGTTATTGATGTTCAATCTTTTCATAGCAAAGAGGAAAATGCCAAACGATCACACAAATCGCAATCTGTCGTTTCACTAATGTTTCTGTTCCCTTGCCAATAAACCGAAGGCAAAATGAGGCATGCATCGGCGGTAGCATTTGAAACGGTTGAGGTATCAGCAGCATAACCAAATTATCGCACAAAGTTGGTAACCCAACCTACTAACTTTTATTTTTTCTGTTGGAGCCAGAAACCTAAACCGTTGTTTTGTTAGCACACAACTTATCATGTGATCCAGTCGATCCACCCTACCTTTCACTTTCAACATACCGAGGAGTGAATACAGACAAACGACCCACCCTGCGCTTCACCTACCTTTCTTTTGGTGCGATGTGATTTGCTCAGTGTGCTGAGGCTTGACGAGCTGGAAGCACACATATGAGCCGCCTACGAGACTTGAGTTTATTGATTTTATGTGAATTCACATAGATGTCGGTATGCTGAGACCATCTAACCAACACGCCCAGTCCATGATTTGGTTCATATCATGCAGAGACTAGTAGTGTACACACGGTAGTACAGTGACTGCTGTCGTACTGTTCCTCCTTTAAACTGTTTCATTAAACTTCTTCAGCGAAAGTCACCCATTCTTGAGTGGTATCCCTAGAGCTGAGCTTCTACCATAGTCTATCCATGTTTGCACGACTCATTATAAAGGTAACATTTAAACTCATGAAGAAGTATTTTACTATGTTCTACCTGGCTAGATAGGGTACACCCGATAAAAGCAGTGGGATATATGGACAAATTAAACTGAGTTGCTAAGGCTACATAATAAAGACTGCGCTAGAACCCAACCACAGTAGTAAACCATGAAATTTTCTGAGAGCATATCTTGCCTATTGAGAACATAGTTATTGATCGTATCTTCTAATAGTCCCAACCTCTTATTTAGTGCAAAAAACTGGTTCAGAGCATCTCTGACTGAGTCACATCCCATGTGCATATTTGGACTTGATTAAGCTCACTAAAAGTGTCTTAACGCACACTGCACTTCGTTTGGGCTACTTAATCGTCCTCAGAATATAGAAGAAACTTAAGTTTAGCTAGTGGGAACCGATTCTCAAGTAGGCATAACGTTCATGGAGAATGAGATCAACCAAGTGACCTTTTTCTACATAGCATGTAGTGTATCGTATATTCCTGAGGTGCTCACTATGTTTGCTCAAACAATATATATATATATATATATATATATATATATATATATATATATATATATATATATATATATATATATATATATATATATATATATATATATATATATATATATATATATATATATATATATATATATATATATATATATATATATATATATATATATATATATATATATATATATATATATATATATATATATATATATATATATATATATATATATATATATATATATATATATATATATATATATATATATATATATATATATATATATATATATATATATATATATATATATATATATATATATATATATATATATATATATATATATATATATATATATATATATATATATATATATATATATATATATATATATATATATATATATATATATATATATATATATATATATATATATATATATATATATATATATATATATATATATATATATATATATATATATATATATATATATATATATATATATATATATATATATATATATGTCAGGCGTACTTGTCAGGTAAAGTTGTGGGCACCTTGACGTTTGTGTGATTTATCGGTACCTGACGATATACACTCTCCTCGGTTTATTCTACACAGGGAGAGAACACACTGCACCCGTGCTCCAATATTGTCAGAGCTCCTCACTCGCGGATATTTTCGGTCTTATGAGACGTGAACACTGGCCATATCACACACGTTTAACTACTCCAGGTATGCAGCTCAACGTTATCACTTGCGAAAAGGCAAACCAATTCAAAGTATAGAAATGCATTTAGACTACTCAGACAACGTTCGTGAACGTTATTCAAAAGAACACGGTGCGGATGAGCGCTATCAAATTCAACAGCTATAAACAAGCGGTTAAAAGTGTTTTGTATACTCGAAATGACTTCAACATAACCGAATATGAACTTTCTAATCTACCGATCATCAATGAGGACGACCTAGTTCCTCATTGCTTGTTTTGTTTTTGAGACTAAAGGAGATACTTCTTGTTTAGCTTGAGGAGGGTTTGACCGAGTCAAATCAGATGCATACGTCATTCTTATCAAGAAGAACACTTGGCCAAGTATAGGCCACAAGTCCACTCGGTTATATCACAGACTACCAGTTTAGTCTTGGTGGAAGCATTTGCCAAACCGAAATTTCTTGGCTTGAAGAGATGTGTATAGTTGTTGCACATATCTAAGATGCACTCTGTAGCTGCATTTGAGAAAAATATTCAGGTCTTGATTAGCCCAGCTACGCTAGGCTCTTCACTGTCATGGAAGATCATCATCAAGGTTAACAGGGATCATTCACGTGTCTGTTTGTTGAGGAGACGATTGATATAATGACCAAGCTTCTGCTTGTCAGTCTGCCATATTTGATTCTTTTCCCTCCTGAAATAAACTATTATTAGAGTGAAAAGATGATGCAATTAAGTTCACTGGTTACCATTTTGGCCTATTTAGTTATTCAGCATTCGAATGCCAGATAGGAAGCGTTGCAGTAACATAAACTTGGTGTTTGCGCTTGACAACTGCAGCAAAGACACTTCAAGCAGAATATGTTTGATGGAAACTAGGGTACTGTGCCTAGCTGAGGAGATCCACGAAGAGTGCAACTATTAGCGGGCTATCGAAGCAGGTTCAACAGCCTTATAGACAGACAAAAACATCTTGTTCATACTTTCGAACCACGATGTTTACAGAAATTCCTATGCAAATTTTTTGCCGACCATCTAGCAAGTAGCACAACATTAGCTCGCGTGTTACCGGAACAGTTTTCCCTCTCTCAGATACACACGAGTGTATGTGTCTTTTCTAAGTATATTTTACGTATGCGAACGAGAACGCCATTTTGGTTGTGTTCACCGAAGTGGAATTTCTAAGTATATCGGTTTATATAGTCTAGATAATAAAGCCATCAGGTCACTGACTGTTTATTAGGCCCATATGAAATGGGAAACTCTACTTTCGAGACTTCTAAACTATTGGGTGCATGAGATCTGATAAATAAAAGTGTAATTTTTTTCGTGTTGTTTCAGGTGTTTAACTGTCCAGCAAATTTGGCGAGCCATCGGCGGTGGCACAAACCGAAGCGAATCAATAATTGCTTAGAAGGAATAAATTCACTTGGGTCAAACGTGGCAATGGCAACGACTGCAAAAGCCGACAACTACCCGATTCAGACAATATCAGATTACCCAAAGACGACCCCTTCAAAAACTTTATCCAGAAATAGTGAACCTACACATCCGTCTGACCGTGCGCGTAACTGTGCTGTGCCTTGGAGCCAGGATCCTCTTGGCGCAAACTTTGACGATACGGGATCGATCAAAATTGCCGCTAGAACGAGACAACTTAGCAAGAACTGCAATAGCTTCACCGTGGATGCGATTCTCGGACGGACAACCGTATCTCAAACAAGATCTAGGGGTGGTGTGGTTGAAGAATCCCATCAACCAAGGAACAGCATAACTCAGTCATTCAAGCCTGCACATCCCCATCAACTCTGGAAAACTGGTAAACTGCTCGATGCATGTGAAACTGAAACCAATTCGCAGGTCTCGATTTCTTGATGTCCACCATGATCCTGTGAAAATGAAACGTCGCAAAATGAAACAACGTTCTCAGCCGCTTGTCAGATGAACTAATTTAGAAATGGGCATAAGTGAGAATGTCATTTTCCGTTATACGCCGTATGTATTGACTCATCATTGGGTTTCATTTATTGATCACCAATCAAGTGGGTCGTGGATCAATATCCACAGCTACTGTATGTACATATACTTTTGTTTCGTCTACCTACACTGACTTACTGGTACTTGTTCTGTGACACACAAGTCAGCACCCAATTGAACAGACTTGAATACTTGATTCCTTCACAAGGTTTCAAACGGAACAAAGAAAAGATGGACAGAGTCTTTCTCAGAAGGAAGTGCTCTCCCAAAGACTTTGATACCACCGATCTAAGGAAAAGGAAACTAGACGTGACCGACTTGTATGATTCGGATTCCGTGGTTCGTGCCATTTTTTTAGAAACAGTCTGCTTCCCAACGTGACCCGACTTCAGAAACCTCGTAGAACGCAAGATTTAATCATTCCTCCACCAAAGCAGGAGGCTAACAATTTGTTTTCAGTAGTTTGTTTCGTTACACCAAAATTTACAAGACGACCCCCCAGAGAATTCCTTCAAAAAGCACTTCCCATACTGAAAAACATTTTCCGCATTTTGCTGTACCAGTCCAGCTGTGTTTAATAAAATAAGCGGTTGATTTTTTAAGAATATTGTCCAAGCTGTACCATTTAACATGTGTTGAATATATTTTGTAAATAAAATTGAATTTGTTTATTTGTTCCTCAGCCCCTTCATCATTATCAATACTTTTCTGTCGATCGGCTGCCTGGCTCTTGAGCTGAATGTTTTAACCAGAAAATATCAATATTTTTCCAGTACTGGATGCACTCTTTAGTTCTGATGATATTCTATGATCGGAAAACTGCACAATTGCTGTTTCTGATGGGAACCGATCAATAGTAGATAGTTGATAAATTCTGAGGAATTCAAGGGGACAAGATTTGGGATAAACATAGGACAATAGGTTCAGACTACCGGTGAAAGGAAGAAGGCTTTTGTTGCGGAGTTATTTATCAGAAAATGTCGACTGAACAGTTGGAGAATATTGGACAGGGAAGCAAAACTCTCATATACATCTTGTTTACAAAAACTGAATATCCATCTTTTCCTCGAACGCGTCTTTCTGAACTTTGCTGGATATTCTTTGACTGTTGTTCAAATCCAAGCAAATGTAACTCAACAAGTGCCCTAATAGATCTCATTTTTCAAGAGATGCAAAGCAGATTTACGAGAAAACACTACTCACATGCCCTCCCCCATCAGTAGTATCAACGTTACACCGGAAGCTGATTGGGAGCACGCAGTAATGTTAACGGATAGCAAAAATTGAGGCGGCTTCACAGCTTATCGGTTGGAACCGCACAATGGGTCATTTGACGTAATTTTACGCTGAGGCCTGTAGGCCTGCATCTGAACACTCTCTGACCGATCAGAAGGAATGAAACCAAACTGTGACTAGGAGAAGGGCAGTTCTAGGGTCATCAGCCTGATCAATCAGTAACTCATAGTTGTTAATTTGAGAGCACACAAGTAGACAACTAATATTTACAATGCATACAGCGAACCTCGTCGCTCGTAAGACGCATCATGGACACACACGTAAAGCTGGCTAGTGCCAGTAATCAATCAGCTTGTTCCGCACAACGATGGCCACAGAGGGTCACCACCGGCCTATTCGTAGGCCTAACACAATGACCTATTCGAAGTGTTAGGGTGGGTCATTTGAACATACGTTATATATATAGATATATATATATAGGCAAGAAAACAAGAGCAAATTCGCAGAGCAGAATATTAGACAAGAGCAAATTCGCAGAGCAGAATATTAGACGATCCATTCCACTATATTTCAACGAAATGCAACATTAAAACCCTAAGCATAGCAAAAGCTATAATAAAATACAATGCCTTACAAATATTCGGTATCACTGAACAACCCAGACTAACTGCTTTTAGTGGCAAACTCTGAGGGCTTCAACCGGCCTTGCCCGTAAGGCATGTAAGCCTTTTTACGCGTAGCCGCTTGCAAATACTGTGTTGCAAAATTTTTCAGCAGTTTCCATGTTTGCGAAGAGCACGTAAATTGCACCACCTTTCACCAAATTACTTTGGATTTGTCTGCGGCTTGGACAATAGTTGGACTTACATAAACGACATACAAAACATTCAAAACCTGGGAGCGGGTCGCAACGATATATATTGAATCCGTGATCATTTTTGTTGCGGATACATTATGATGTCCTTGTTTATGTTCTAAAACTGACAAATTGACAGGGGTTTTGGAGAAAGGAAGGACCTAAAAGTGAGAAATACATCATTAGTAAATGGATGGATGGATTTGAGAAGAACCGTTTCAACGGAATGATGGGGAATAAACGCTGACAACAAGTGATCGATCAAAAGCGGGACGGAATTACTCCAGTTTCGAACGGAGCGAATACCGTCAGACGATTAATTCTTATGTTGTGGCTAGAACATGAAATCAGCCAAACTAACTAGAGTCAGGAAAATTTTAGGATTTTACTAAATCAGATTTGGCCGGAAGAGGTTACTTTTATTAAACTCAGCAATAAGGTCGAGTACTCAATCAAAATCCAACCACAAGGTCGTTCGTTTCCGGTTAGTAGCTAGGGTAGATTCGAGTTGCTATCCAACAGTCTTCGCACTGAATTCACTTGAATCGATCGAGTCTTTCATACAAGAGATTCGAATGCCAACAGAACTCTTAAGGAAAGTCAGGATTAACGTATGCTGCATTTAAGCAAGTATACGAATGGCGTTTGTGGATAGTGAACATAATTTGTGGCGTTTTGATTGAGTGTTGATTGTTCCGTCATGTCCTGCTTCACAGCTTTGTATCACCTGAGAATGTTCTCGTACCTTATTAAACAGTGTGCGTTATGCACTGTCACTCGAAGTAATAAAACATTCGACTTGCTCAGTGATAACCCTTATCTCCCCACTTACTGAATCAGTCCTACAGGAAAGCATTTGTGACTAGTCACCAGATTTACAAAACGTAGCTGATTCCATTCTCCACGTTCCCAAATGTGACTGTTATTTCCCTCTGCCCTGATAGTTAATTAGTTAAAGTGGCCGTAAAATGGTTTCGTTTTCATTGTATAAGCTCCACAGTGTCATCGTGGGTTACGGATATTCACGGTCCGTCCCTCAACGACTTCATTATGGAGCACGGTGCCTGAAGCTAATGGAATCGACCTTTGTCTGTTGGGTATGTACAGTCTAATTTGTCGCATTGCATTCATATGCGCTTTTATGACCGTGGATTTCTCTGTTTTCCAGACAGTTTTATATCTCCCCGCTCCCCTTGCAGCTTCTGGGTTTGAGCGAAATTGCATGACAGCATTGTGAAACATAATTGTGCTTCGGTCGGTCAGTGCTGCGCGGCGCGGCGCGGCGCAATTTGAGTGGAATTTTACCAATCCGCTTGTTCGCTGTTTATACCTTCTGATCACATAGTGAGCAAAGGCTGAACAACCTCAACCCTTCAGTCGGTATGCTATTAACGTCTGTTTGCAGACATTTGAATGGTCATGGGAGGAATTAATTCGCCCGGCTCTTCAGGAAACAGTTTTATGCGCAAAATGGTCAATTTTTAGACAGAAAGATAATTTACGCCCGGAAAATGGAATCGAGGACCACCTCTCTTTGAATAGACTGGAAGATAACCTAGTTGTTTGTTTTTATCGTAAGAAGTATCAATTTTCCTGGGCTTTCGTGAGCTCTGGAATGGATACGATTTTTGAGGGTAGTCGCTAGACGAAGTGCTCCATTTGCGCATCCCATGATACTCGACTTGCTAACCAAATTCTTTCCGTTTTATTTTCCAGTTTTGTGGGAACAGATGCACCAATAGGTTGGCTGCTTCTGGCATTCATTTTAAAATCATGGTCGCTAATTATCTACATATACGGCATCATCGTTTTACGGTTCACAGCACGAGTGACTGATAGTCCGAATATTCATATTTGCATGCCAAAATGGTTTCAACCGAAGACTCAGCTGGATCCCAGTTGAAAACATCATATTCGATTTTGTTCAACTGACAGTTAGCCTGAAAAAGGGCGAAACCAGTTATGGGCTGTCAAACAGTTTTCAGCAAAATTATGAGTGGCTTCCTCCACGAAGAGTACTTGTAACTCTTCCGTCGAGCAGAGTTTGATGATGTTACCTGCCGGGCTAATCCGTCTGATAACTACGGCGTGCTGAGACTTGGGTGTCAGCCCAGCTGGCAAACTGGGAATACAATGAATAGGAAACAGGAATTTTAGGATGGAAACCTGTACCGTCAGACTTTACGATAAATTCTGTTTGCCTACCCTAAAGAACTAGCCTGAGTTTATCGGTGCCGGTAATTTAGAGCCAAATAGTCTGGAAAGTTATTGCAGCTCTACCTAATCAAGAGGTACCAGATAAAATTGGAAGATCAGTCGAAGGACTGTTGTCCTTGAAATTCTGATTCATCCGGTCACTACCAAACCAGTCTACTTACATACCCAAAGCCCTTAAATCGATGGCGAATACGGCATGGACGAATGGTCTATGCAGTTGAATGAGCATTTTTCGAGCTTTTATTTGCTAGTTATTTTCGAAGAAGACACTCAATGGCAGATTCATTTGTCCACCAAATTATGAAGCTATTTTCCGTACCCGGATAACCTTTAAATTAGTGTGTGCTTTCAAATTTGATCTTATACGTTCAGAGTGTCCAGGGTATTTTACAGCTGTCTAACACTGCAAGCTTCTACGTTGTCAACAACCGATCGAGCGAGTCAGTTCTTGAGGAAACCCCTAAAATCACAAGAAACGTTCGTCCTAGTGCCATATAACCATAAACAGGTGTGGCTGTGCCTAAGACAAGAGG